GCCCACCCAGCTCCAACCCCCAGGTGTGGGCTGGCTGCCTCCACCAGCTCAGGCTGCCCAGAGCCCCATCCAGCCTGGCCTTGGGCACCTCCAGGGATGGGGCGTCCACAGCTTCTCTAAAACTCTCTGCTAACATCTCCCCCATCCTGTATTTCACTCATATCCCACAGACCCAGCCCTGCAACAAGCTTTGAGTAGCCAACATCCACTGAACTCAGCAACCACCTTCTTAATGCTATTCACATATCTCAGCAATTAATTAGAACAGGAGAGTTCTCTCCTACACTGAGAGTCTAATTAAGACCAAAGTTCCACATTCATTTCCAGAGCAGTAAAAAGCAAGTTATGTAAACTCACAGCAAGTATTTCTTCTTTTACCAGAACAGAAAGATAAAAGCATAAAACATCCATAGGCAAAACAGTAAAGGAGGGGAGTGAAGGATTTGGCAGACAGCACGTAAGAGAAGGAAGTCTAGAAAGATATTTTTATTTGCATTTCTTACATTACATTCTCTGGACTTTCCCTCCACCTGGAATACATTAGAAGGAACTAGAGCGACCAGTGGGATGGCTACTGTAAGACAACAGCAGCTCTTTTCGACTAGGAAAATGGTCAGTCTTCCTCTCCCCATTTGCAGCCCCCAGTTCTCAATTCACAGCCCAGTCTGGATCTGGGCTCACAAAGGAGTTGAGCAGAGTTTGGGAGCACAACAAGCCCAGCTTCCTTCTGCACACAGCTCCCACTCCCCCCAAAACCCTTCTTGTCCAGTGCTGTTTCGTCCCATCCTTATCTCTTCTGACCAGATCAGGGAGAATGAGAGCAAAGAGAGGCTGACACGCTGGTAGGAGATGCCCGTGCAGAAGAAGCCTACTACATTTTAAAACTGGTAGTTTATATATTTAGAGACAAAATAGTGAAGAAACATGGATCCTTGAGTAAGGGACACCCACTGAATAGCATAAAAATGATAAAAGGGTGTGAGAGAATGTCCAGCGTGAGTGGGAAAGGGGCTAGGAAATGATGCCAGTGTAAGCACTCCACAAGCAGAAGGTCTTGAAGGTGGGAGCAAGGAGCTTGGTTGTGATTCAGAACTTGAATAAAAAGGGATAAAGAAATAGTGATTTCTGCAACCATCTGTGTGGCTTAGAGAAGGCAGAAATGGTCATCACTAAGGCCAGCTAAGAGTTTGTAGTAATCATGGTGTGAGCTGTGTAGGGCATGAGTGAAGGATTTAGGATGTGAAATGGAGACAAGTGAGACGTACGCATGTATGTTTATTTGGTTGTTTTAACTTGTATGCTTACACTTGTTTATATTTGCTCTGTCTGGTTTAATACAAAACCGCCTTGGAATAGCAAAAATCAAGAGAAGACTAAAATTATATGCCACGCATTTGGGAAAAGATGGAGTCCTTTCACACCTGAGATGGCAGATGTATCAAACCAGGATGACAGTGCTCATTCTAGTATAGTTGGCCAACCCAACAACCTACAACTCATCGCACTTAACAGACCTTTTGCAGGCAGTGAGATGGGCACATCAATCCTCTGCCTCGCAAAGTTCAGGGTAACAGTTGGAGGTGAGGTTGATTTACCCTGGGACAAAGCACTTTCCAAGGAACTGCTGCTCAACTGGCACCCAAACACCACTTGTACTGAGCCTTTTATTCTAGGTTATATTTTTGCTTAGCAAGCGTTTCCATTGTGAGATTTCCCACTTCCAACATAGCAAAACACGTCTGCAATATTTAGCTCTGCTTTCTTCTGGGAGTTACTAAAATAAAGTGCATTGTTAACAAAGAGTACTATTTGCCTACAAATAGAGCAGCACCAGTTAAGAACTTCTCCTTTAGCACGATATTTGTAACTCCACATTGGACCCTACAATGCTGCTTAGCTTATCTGAGAACATATCAGCTGCTGATTTAAAGAGTTTTGCCTGGGCCTGGTGAATTTTATGCCTGGTCCCAAAGCAGACACCAATTTTGTCTCTTACAATCTGCCGTTATTTACAGCCTTCTCATTGTCACCCTCTATATATCCTGCTACAAACTTCCATCCACCTGTTAATTTATAACATGGGCTCCTGGTTTTGCTTCCTGGGGATTGACGGATGGATAAATAAATAAAGCAAATATCAAAAAGGAAGCAAGTTGCTTAATTGTATTAGATAATTCCAAAGTAAATGTATATTAGATTCTGAATGTAAGCAAGCAAATAAGAGCAACATTGAAGTACGGCTGCTAGGGTGATTAGCAAGGACTAAAGAGAAAAATCCTCCCAAAGAGGAGATCGTGCCTTATCAATCCCACACATATTTCCTCCACCTGTACAAGCCCTGTGCATGAAAAAAAACACCAACAGATTTTTACAGGCTGAAAATGTACCTTCGTTTACACTTTCTAGAAATCCAAAACACAGCAGATTGTAACAAGACCAAGCAGAAGTTGAGGGTTCGGCAGGCAGAGTGAAACTGTGAAGGATGAATAATGAGGAGGAAGAAGCTTTCTCCCAGCTGCTGCTGCTGGAGATGCAGTGCAGGTGCGATGGGAAGTGTCTGATGGCTCAGAACCCGCAGAGCCCATTGCACCTCTAATGCTTGTTCCTATATCAGCCTGTCCTTATTGATGCAACAGAAAATATGAGTTAATATGCGATTTATATACGCAGGTTAAGACTAACAGGACATTCTGTAGGATGGCTTGACAGTGGAAATGCAAGGCACTGCAATATATGCTCACCAACAGTCCAGTGCACAAAGGTCTTGTTATCAGGGATGAATCAGCAGGACAGCCATAGAGCTAATAGGATGTACATAAGCACACGGCTCAGGAGCATGTCTGTGATATATACTCAGAGTAATGCCTGGAATGGCAGTAGGAATGGCAGTTGATGCTTCCTTGAGTCCCACAAGATGTGCTAGGACAGGATCTGTGGAAAGTTCACCCCGCTCGTCTATGGCTTGGATATAAACTGGGCAACCCCTGAAAGCTGACCTTGATTCTGACTGCAGGTAAGTGCTGGAACAGATTGCAAAGTGGGGAAGATCCACGGATGCCAGTGGCAGCTCCTTCTCTTAATAGCATGGGTCTATTTCAGAAGACAAGATGAAGCATTTGGTCCTTCTGATGCATGCAAATGTCTGCATGGGACAAGTCAACGTTTGGAAAAGTTGGGAAGAACTTTTGCAAACCACCCTTGCTATGACCAATAGATCTGAAACATCTCCATTGCCTGCAGTGTTACACAGTTCCTGCCTCTCCCCCTGAAATGTGACTAGACTCCCAGAAAGGAGATGCCATGCTAAAGAAAACAAAACAAAACAAAACATAAAAGCACGGAAATCATGTAGGAACAAACAAAAGAGGCTGCTACCCAATGAGGTGAGAAAGAAAACGATTAAACCGCGTGAAAAACCTGTTGCTACCACTTCTGCATTTGGCCAACGAAGAGGGACGGAGAGGCCCCACTGGGTAAACATGCTCTCTCCTGGGATCAAAGGCGAAGGAATGGAAGCCAGTCCTCAGGCTCCATGGACCCAATCCAGTTGGTTTTCTACTAATTTCTGTGGGCTTTGGCAGCATACAGAACAGGGACTGGGGCTGGCAAAGGAAAGCCCTGCCATTACGGCCAAGTTTCCACTCTGCCCTAAAACTGCAGAAGGGTTTTAGCAGAGCCCAGGAATGCATGTGGCACAAAGAGTGCCCAATATGTCAGCTCCCAGCCTTCTCCATCAGTCCCTGCTCCATGCAGCCATCCCCACATCTGGCAATGGGATGATGGTGATGTCCCCTGCTTAGGCCCTTGTCCAAGTGTTTCCTACAGGATATGAGGGCCAGACAGCTCCTTCCCCTCGGGGTAAGGCTGAAAACCGAGCCTGTTCTGAATGGTACGGGGTCCCCAGCTTGGGGCTGGGGCCGGAACCAGTTGCTTGCTTGTGACTTTGTGCTTTCACAAGGGCTTTCAGAACGGAGCAGTTCACAGAATAAAGCTTCTGGGGCAGTTCTTCCTGTTGCCTTGCCTCGAGTAATCGCTCTGGGCCTGTTTACACTAGCAAGTTGTACTACCAGTATTTTATACAGGCGCAGGTAAATCAGCACAACACCTGCATTGTGTGTCTGCTGCTGCCTGGCGTGAAGGCAAGCACAGGGTTTAGGAGCTACTGGAAAGCAAGCCAGCATCGTGCGGAGCACGAGCTAAGAAGGAACAGGCACGGGTGTACGGCATGGCATTTCAACCTGGGTACTGATCACAGGTTTACTACGGAATTGTAACGAGTTTACTAAAAATAGAGCACTGTTAAATTGCAGACAATTACTTGGTTTGCTCAGCCCAGAGCAGAAGGGGGTGAGGGGAGGCCTGATGGCATCTGCAGCTCCTCACAGGGAGCAGGACAGCGCTGGCCACTGCAGGGCCTGAGGGAACGGCATGGAACTGTTACAGGGGAGGGCCAAGTGGGGGTTAGGGAAAGGCTGTGTCCCAGAGGGCGATGGGCACAGAAAAGGCTGCCCAGGGCAGTGGGAAGCGCCCAGTGCTGGAGTTCAGGGAGCGCTGGGACACTGTTCTCAGGCATAAGGTTTGGATTTGGGTGATGCTGTGTGGAGCCAGGGGTTGGACTCAACGATCCTTGTGGGTTTCTAGCAACTCATGATGTTCTGTGAACCTATGATTCCTAGCTTAAGAATCCAAGCAGGAATTAAATCCTCTGTTCTTTTTTAATGCCCTCGGTTGTGCCGAACAGCAATGGATGCAGCCCCAAGCATCTTTAATTTGTCCACTAGAGTGGGCACCTCCCCATTCTGGGCTGGGGTTTCCCAGTTCAAGCACTGTGCATAACGGCATTACATTATGCAGAGCTTTGGGATCACGCGGTCACTGAAGGTGCTCCAAATAGGCTGGCACTCACTGCCAACCCAATTCAATGGTTGAGGTCTGTAAAGGAATAGTGGCAAAACAGTCACAGCAAAGAAATGGATTAAATTAGTGACAAATATGCCGGTTGGTAAACCTGATGCATGAAGATATATTGGAAAAGACACACCGCAGCGCTCCCAGGGCGCACCGCTCCGCGCTCCTTCCGCGGGGCTGCGTCGGAGTTGGGAGCGGGACGGCCAACGCTGCGGCCGGGCGGGGAGGAAGGGAGGAGGAGGAGGAGGAGGAGGAGAAAGAGCAGGAGGAGGGAGCAGCCGGCAGCACGCACCGGCCGCCGGAGCTGGCCGGGCCGGCGGGGGCTATTGTGTGCACCAGCCGGGGCCGCGCACACACACACAGACACGCTCCCACACACGCACTCACTCACACCCGCGGCTCGGAAGGAAAGTATCGCGAGAGCGGCCGGCGAACAACCTGCTCCGCAGCCCCGCCGGCCCCGCGCCGCGCCCGCGGAGCGCCGCGCACCGCGCACATGCGGCCGCACAGCCCCGCCGCCGCCCGCCGGTGAGTACGGGCCGGCCGAGCCCCGGGAGAGAGAGCCCCGCAAAGTTGCGGAGAGCGGAGCCGAGAAAGAAGGGGAAGGGGGGGGGGGCGGCCGAAAAGCGGCTCCGCGGTGCCCCCCCCCCCCTCCTTCCCTTCTCTCGCTCGCTCCGGCGAAGGTCACCGCGGTTGGTGCGGGGAACGAGCTTTGCGGTGAGGAAGGGGGGGGGGGGGGGTCCTTGGGGGCGGGCTCGGGGCAAGTTTGTGGGATTTAATCGCGGGCTATAAATGGGGTTGCTGGAACTTTAAAAGGCAGCAAGCTGTGGTTGGCTGGTAGCGAGATTTGGAGTAACATATGGCATTAAAAGGCGCACAGCTGGAGGTAGCATTTCCATCGCAGTGAAGTCAGAGCAGCTGACTCTCCAGCTTGCGGTGTAATTAGCAAACCGAGCACTCCTCCTTCCCTCCGCCCGCCCGCCTGCCTCCCTCCCGCCGCGCCGCGCTCGCACCCGCACCGCTCCGCGCTCCTCCTGCACGGCTCCGGCTCCGCGCCCCGGGAAGGTAAGAGCCCGGCGGGCATCGCACCCGGCCCTGCCCTCCTCCCGCCGCTTATCCCCCCTCAGCTTTTAATAACTTCGAGGGAAACTTTTTTTTCCTTTTTTTAAAAAAAAATTAATTTTTTTTTTTTTTTTTTTTCTCTTATTTCCTGCATGCGGAGCTCGAGGGGTGCCGTCTCTCTGCCCACCCCGCGTCCGTCCCTTTTCCCCCCCCTCCTCCCCCCCCACCCGTACCGAGGATTCCGCCCCGTCCCCAGCGCCTCCCGCGGGTTGTGTTGTGGTTCGGTGCATAACGACGAGGGAGAAAGTTTAAATAAGGGCTGCGTACGGGACGGGGATGGGCTGCGTTGGGGGATGCCCCGAGATGGGTGGCCGGGAAGAGCTGTGGAGTTCGGTGGTTGTTCTTTTTTCTTTTTCCCTCCCCGTGTTTTCCTCTTAATTTTATTAAGTGAAAGAAACAAAGGTGGAGGGACTGCTGCTTTTTGTGCTTTTGTTTACTTCTAATCAAGTTTTTCCTGTTTGGAGCAGGTGCGAGGGGATGAGGAGCTGTTGTGCTGTTTTTTCCTCTTTTTTTCTCCTATTTTCTCCCCCTCTTCTCTTTCCCCCCTCCCCCCTTTAATAAAACCATTACACCCAATTAGCAGCAAACGCTATCTCCGCGGCTCTCCTTTCGCCTCGCGTTACCCCAAAGCCGATCTGTTTGCTCCAGCTGCTAGGAGGCTTTAGTTTACAGTAGCATTCAAGTTTTTCCTGTTTTGAACAGGTTATGAAGGAAGAATGGAGTTTCCAGACCATAGCCGCCAGTTGCTGCAGTGTCTGAGTCAGCAGCGTCACCAGGGCTTCCTGTGTGACTGTACTGTGTTGGTTGGAGAAGCTCAGTTCCGAGCGCACAGAGCCGTCCTCGCCTCTTGCAGCATGTACTTCCATCTTTTCTACAGGGACCAGTTAGACAAAAGGGATATTGTGCATCTGAACAGTGACATTGTCACGGCCCCTGCCTTCAGCCTGCTGCTCGAATTCATGTACGAGGGAAAGCTGGAGTTCCACAGCCTCCCGGTGGAAGATGTGCTGGCCGCCGCCAGCTACCTCCACATGTATGACATTGTGAAAGTCTGCAAGGGCAAGTTGAAAGATAAAGAATCGGGCTCGGAGGAGAAGCCAGGCGATGAGGCGGCCGTGCTGGACAAAGCGGAGCGTTTCCTCGATGAGTTCGAGCCGGGGGGCAAAGCGAGATCGGAATACGAGCGGGCTGTGGGCAAGGAGAAGGTGGGATCCCACCCCGCCTGGCCCTGCGGCCCCCCCAGCCTCAGCCCGGCCGAGGCAGAGCCCTGCGCAGCGGCAGCTGGAAAAACAAAGGCGAATGTCAATAGTTGTGTGGGACCTTTGTCCCAAAGGTCTGCCAGCCGTCCCCCGGTGTCGAGCGAGGCCGACTGCGCGCTGGATTTGTCTTTCAAACCCGTGCTGGGGAGAGATTCCTTGCAGCCCTTCTATGCCTTCGGACAGCTGGCTTCCGACAGCCAGCAGCAGGGCACCGAGCCACTGGTGAAGGATGAACAAGAGTCGCTGTCAGAGCGGGAGGACGGCGAAGCCGGCAGTCCGGAGAGTCAGCATTTTGGGAACTCGGCCAAGAGCCTGGTGACAGGGTTAGGACACATGTTCGCAGGGAATGGCAGCTCTCACGGCCGGGAGGAGGACCTAGACCAAGAGCGAGAGGAGAGCGAGGACGACATGGACCCCGCGGACATCTCTGCGGGCGTGCTGGTGCCTCCGGGGCACATCTGCATCTGCCCGCTGTGCAGCAAGGTGTTCCCCAGCCCTCACGTCCTGCAGCTGCACCTCAGCTCCCACTTCCGCGATAAGGACGGCGCCAGGAGCCGCCTCTCCCCCGACGGCGCGGTGCCCACCTGCACCCTCTGCGGGAAGACTTTTTCCTGCATGTACACCCTGAAGCGGCACGAGCGGACGCACTCGGGCGAGAAGCCCTACACCTGTGGGCAGTGCGGGAAGAGCTTCCAGTACTCACACAACCTGAGCCGCCACGCGGTCGTGCACACCCGTGAGAAGCCCCACGGCTGCAAGTGGTGCGAGAGACGCTTCACGCAGTCGGGGGATCTGTACAGACACATCCGCAAGTTCCACTGTGGCCTTGTCAAGTCTTTGGTTGTTTGAGACGTGGGATTCTTATTATTTTCGCACCCCCCCCCCTACCCTCCCTCGCCCTCTTAAAGCAGGGAAAAAAGGCAGCATTTGAATCTTTTTTCCTTTTTTTTTTTTTTTTTTTTTTCCCTTTTTTATTTTGGTGATATTCACTTTTCAGGTATTTGATCTTTAAAAGATGCAGAGGTACACACTCCAGAGGCCTTTCAATGCAATTCCGCCCCCCGTTTCCCCAGCCCTGCCCCTCTCGCCTCTCTGCCCCTCAGATCTTCCCATGTTCCATTATTAATGTGAAACAATCTCACTAATTCTGCAATGATTTAGCACCTGTTCTCGTGCTGGAAGTACTCGCTCTGTGGTTGTGGAGGTTCTATTTATTTATTAAGTTTTATTTTAAGTTGGAAGAAGAATTGATTATCAATTCTGGAGAAGTGCTTGGATCCTGTTAAGCTCCCTGATTCATCTGCATGTTGCCCAGAGATGTTGGGGGAGATGAGCGATACTTTCAGTACATTTCAGTGCAGAGGAAGTTCTCTGTAGTGCTCTCTCCTGAGTAGCTGGCAGCAGCCTTGTGGTGCTGGAGGAAACTCTGGCCCAGAAAGTAAAGGGAGGAGGGTGAGAATTCCTGGGTACATCTTTGGTACTGCTCACTTTTTAAAATTCTCTTCATTATTTTGGAATAGCTCCGCTATTGAATGTGAAGGTTTGCCTTCAGGCCTGACTTATTTCCCTCCTACCTGTCTTCCTCACCTACGGAGCTGTCTGGTGGCCCCAATGGGCATGGATCCATGCTGTTCCCAGCTGCTTTTATCCCCATGTTGACACACAGGGACTGATGTGGTGGGAACAGCTTTGGGCTGGTGCTGCTCCAGAAGGCAGGAGATGCCCTGCTGTCTGCTCTGAGAGGTGCCTGCTGCCTTGCTTGGATCAGCAGCTCAGGATTTAATTTATTTTGATTTTTCATGAAGTTGGTGATCCTTCTGGGCCTGGGTCTGTGCAATCCCTGAGGGCCGAATGAAGGGAAACCACTGGAGGCACAGCCCAGCTCTTCCCCCCCATCCCACCCAGCCACTCACCACCTTTCCAGGGGAGGTTTTAGATTTAGGTTTTTATTATTTTAAATTCCTGTAAGCGGAGGCTGCCTGTAACCACAACCAGCTTTACTCCAAACGCAACTCAAAGCCTCGCCTGGTAGAGCATCCTTTATGTCAGATGATTCCCACCCCACTGAGTTCTCCATTTGAGGTATGTGTGTGTGGGGCTGAGGTACATCAGAGGCTTCCGACTGCTGTTCTCCATTACTGATCTTCACCAGTTTTCCTGACGCTCCTGGAACTGTTCTGTGAAGCACATAAGTTTATTTTTAAATGAACGTGAAGCACTGAGTTTGACTTTTTTTTTTTTTTTAATTTTTTATCTTTTTCTTCTTAAAGTTGTGCTTTAAATACTGTATTTCACCTTATAAAGAGAAGAATTGCCTAAAGCCTTCCCCCTCTGGTCCAAAACCTGAGCACTACCTACATGAGTAATATGGGATTTTGGTTTTTATTTTTTATAGCTAAGTACTTCCTCTTAAAGAAAAAATATGGAGATATACTTGTGGCAGCCTCCTCCCATTCATCTCTTAAACTATGAATGTACATGTAATGTGAAATTTTGCTTCTATTTATAGTTTGGGGTTTTGTTTTCAGTCTGATTTCTCAACTGTAAAATATTTTTGCTGAACCTGTTACATATGGAAGTCGTGGGAGAGTTCATTATCTTAAGTGTCTTTGGTACTGTGGTCTTATTCTACTTAATCAATTTCTGTTCTATTTCTCCTTTTGTTGCTGTGATTGGAAATAGCACTGAACAAAATCTACTAAAATTAAGTTATTTTTTTTCTTTCTACTAAAATTAAGTTATTTTTTTCTCCTGAAGATACTTGATATAGTATTTATTAGCTTTTTTTTTTTTTTGAAGTGGAGTTGTTACTGTTAATCTATTTCAAAACTAGTTACTTTACACTTTAAATTTTATAACGGTGGTTTTGCATGTTGAACAACATGTAAGGAGTTATGTAGAGTCAGCATTACTGGAGCTGGAGATCTTAATTTTGCATCCTTGTTACGCTTTTTGCCTTTCAGTCTTCAGTTTGTTGGTTTTTTTGTTGGTTATTTTTCCTAGGAGCATAAAAGAGGGTGTGCCATAAGACATCCCTGGTCTATGGAGCAGGGAAAGGTTGAACCAAGTTTGTGTTTGACGTTAGTATAGGAATAACTCATTAAACTGATGCTGTGAGCATACTCTGTACTGCAGTGAATACAGGACAAAAGTTGTTTTGTTTTTTTTTTTTTTAAAAAAAGGAAAACACAAAAAAGACTTTTCTCATTCTTTCCTCCATCACAAACACGTTGTTCTCATAGTCTGGTATTTGTGTTCCCACTCGTCATAGCTTGAATTTCTAAAGTAAAGATGTTTGCACTTACTTTTGTTCCTAAGGTGACTTTTTTTTGGCGCTCTCTCTCTCTGTGTCTCCAACTTGGAGCTGCAGTAGCTCTGAGCATCTCTTCCCAGGGGTTCGTGGCTCTACAGAGAAGTACTCAAACCATTGCACACTGGGCTCATCTTTGCAGGAACTCTGTCACTGTGGGGCAGTCTCTGTCTCAGTAGCGGACGGTGCTGCGCTGCATTTTAAACACTGGATTTGTCTTCTACTGCAAACAAATACTGTGAAGTTGATGTAAAATCAAACAAAAAAAAAAAAAGAAAAAAAATCATTGATACTTTTAATTGTTTTTAATCTTTGGTGCAGTTCAGATTAAATATGTATATTTAAAGACACTAATTTTTTTTTGTGGGAGAGTTTTATAGTATACAGTATGTAGAAAAAGCTATTGGAATGGAGTATATTTTATAAGAGCATTCTATCACTGTTTTATAGTGAACTATTTTTCCTTCAGTGTTAGCGTTGTGCTGTTAGCTTAGGTCTGACAATCGCAGGGAGAGTGACTTCAGCTGTTGTTAGTGCTTAGTTTTGCGTGGAGTTCTGTTTGCAACTGTATTGGTATGTGCTGTACAATGTGACAATCGTGGCTAGGATTGTTGTCTTTACAAACTTCCACAAAATAAAATGTGCTAGAGTTGTAAACTTGAGCCTCCTCTTCCCCCTGTAGCGGAAGGGGAGGGTGGTTGGGGTTGTTGTGACGTACAGCTGGTGCTGCTGCTTTTATTGCGTTTGTTGAAGTTGGAAAAGACCTCTAAGGTCATCTAGTCCACCTGCCACCAATATTGCCTACTGAAGTTGATGCTCCACTATTTCTTTTTTTTCAGGGTCGGTGGGAATTGTAGATATGCAAGGTGCTGTGCACGGTTGGATCCTGAGCCCACATGGATGGAGGGAGCTGTGCAGGCACCAAAACCTTGGTGGGTTTGGAAGAGCTGAGCTCTGCCCCGGCTCCTGCTGTCCTGCAGCTGTTTGCCTTCAGCAGGAGCTGGGGTTGGGAGGAGGAAGACATGAGCTGCGCGCACCAGCTGCTGCTTGCGGGGAGGAGAGGAGCCCACGGATGGTTTTGCACCTGCATTATGTCTTTTATTGCTTAATTCTTGTGAGGCAAAGGGCCCTGCTGGAATCGGGCTGCTTTGGGATGGTGCTTCTTAAGGGAGGGGCAAATGAGAGGTGGTTCTGGTGAGCAGGCACAGCTATCTGCCCTCTTGCTGTCAGGTTGTCGCTCCTCTGCAATGCTATCAAAACAGGAATATTTCCTGCATTTAATTGTGCTTGGTGCAGTCTGCGTGTCCATCGCCATCCATAGGGAGCACTGGGCTGTGTGTCATTCCTGCAACATCTGGTTCTGAGGCAAAAATCTTAGAAATACTTACAAGTTTGTATTTCTGCTTTTGGGGAGGGAGAAGGGTGGAAAATCTCCCCGCAGTTGCTTTGTCTGTGGCATGTTCTTTAAATGAGTGGAAGGAGGTATAACTCACCCTGCTCAAATCTGGGTGCTGCACTAGGGAGGCAGCAAGCTTTCTTTGGTGGGGAAAGGGGAGGGTCTGGGGGTGGGAGGGAGAAGAAGCAAGAAGAGCTCCTCCTGGGAGATGGGCAGCTATAAATAACTGCACATAGACTGAGGGGAGCAGCCCACGTCTGTGCTGGTGTGGGCATGCTGTGCCTTTTTTTGTTGTTATTGCTGTTGTTATCAATTGCTAATGTGAATTCTGGCACTCCAGATCCTGATGACTGTTGTTCTGATAACATAATTAAATCTGCGGAATGTGAAAGAAGAAATCCAGCTGCTGAGTTGATGCTGGAGGGGCTGTGTGCACATGGAGGGACCAAAGGAACCTTCAGATGCTTCTGGGCGCAGGTTCCTGACTTGCAGGTACACAGGGAGTGTTGCTGCCCTTAGTTATGAGTGAGGGGTAATAGCATAGAATCATAAAGGTTAGAAAAGACTATTAAAATCACCTAGTCCAAATCCAACCCATCCTCATCATGCCTGCTGACCATGTACCTCAGTGCCACATTTCCATAGTTCTTAATGCCTCCAGGAATGGTCACTCCATCACCTCCCTGGGCAGCTGTGCCAATGCCTCACCACTCCAGAGAAGAAATTTTTCCAACTGCCCAACCTGAAGGGATGTCTGTCCTCCCAGCTGTGAGGATCAGTCCTGGAAGGTGCTGGCAAAGAGGGTTCCCACTGCTCTTGTAAAGCTTGGCTCTTGTTGAGATGAGTCTTACGAGATGTTTTCATTTTTAATTTCTGTTTTCAAGTGACTTCCAGAGATGATTTGGCCTTGGGTATGCATAACAGTTGCAGTGTCTCTATGCCAGTGATAAGGGAATCCTCCATGAGAAACAGTTGGGGTTGGGGAGCGTAGAGAGGATCTCTTGCCCAGCTTGGTGGTGGCACCTCTGCTGTCCAGCTTCTGTGGCTGTCATTGTGTCTGAGCTTCAGTTGCCTTTAAGTATTCTTCTGTGCCTTCTTGCTGAGGTATGTGCACAGAAGAACATGAAGCAGCAGCTGTTATCTGAGGAAATCAATGGCAGGTGTGACCCAGCAAAAACAGCCTATGTAGAACAAAGCTGGGCTTGAGTGAAATGGAGTATGGTGAGGTTGGTGTGTGAAAACGCCTTGCCCTGAGAGGAGAAAGAAGAACTGTGCACACAGTGACCTGCTTGGGGAACATTTTGTCTCAAATTACTTGCTGTTTGGTACTGAGAAGGACTGGACTGGAAGTGCTGTGGATTGAGCAACTTTGCACAGAGAGGTGTCTTTCACCACAGTGCATCCAAGGGCTGCTGCTCTGTTGCCCATGCATGTGACTGAGGTGAGGACGATGGCTGAAAAAGAATGTAGGGCACTTTCCAAGCTTGTACCTCTGCCTTCTTGACTGGTTCTTTTCATCCCGATTAAAAAATAAAAAATATCACTAGCACTGTTGAATAGGAGGAGAAAGAGCAAACAGTTCAGTTATTGTTACCTGTTTCCTGTTTGTTATGCTCTGTCATACAGCTGCACACTTCTGTACACAGCTGCCTCCTGGCTGCCTCCTGTGTCCTTTTAGAAGGAGCTGTTGCAGAAAATAAAAGTGCTTGCTAACCTGACTTTACAAATAAAGACCTATTACTGCAGATGAATACAGGGCCTTGTATGTGCATTGAGACAGCAGTGCTGCCTTCCCTGGTGGGCGGTCAGTTCTCTGTCCCCTTCAACCCCATGGTATAATGCTAGCAACCCTGGCCCCAGTCCCTCTTCCTGAGCTCCTAGTCCATCTCCTCAAGCCCTCTCAAGAAGCCCTGGGGGTAGAGGCTTTTCCCAAGTGGGTTTGGAGCAATATGCTTTTGGGACAACATCACCAAGAAGGGGATGATATTAGACTTGGTAACACAGGAATTTGGGAAAAACAGCAGTTTAAATGATGCCTTTACTCACAGGATGTTCCTCCCTGGGATGGCTCAGCCCACATACTAGGTACTCTCTGTTCCCCAACCTTCCTTATCTCTCCCTTCTTTCCTGAGCTATCCAGGTGGTGTTAGGAACCATCTGCTGCAGTGATTCAGCAGAATCCATTTAGTGCTTTCCCAGTGAGGCCAGCATCTGCCAGGCAAGGGGGAGGCTGTGGGGAAGCCCAGCACATCTGCTGCTGTGGCTGCGAACGAGGCTGGGGTCAGCCCCCGGCCTCATCCCAGATGCCCCCTGGATGGTGTGCAGGTTGCAGCCACCCCATTAAGTGCATGCCATGTCCCTAGTTGTGCCTTGCCTGGCTCAGGCCAAGTGGTTAATTATCAAATGGCCATTTTGGCTCAGGCTGTGCTCAGGAAGAAGCTGTGCCACAATTTGCTGCGGTGTCTGTCTGGTGCTTGGCAGGCACTGGGCGTCCTGGCTGGTACGAGGTAGGAGCCAGACAGGGCTGTCATCCCTCCCCAAGGTCGCAGTGAGGGAGCTCAGGCTGGAAACATGAGCATCACAATGCTTGGTGCACGAGTAAGAGAAAATAAGGCACTAAGTTTCCCTTCCGGGGCAATAAAGCAGCTCCAGAGCAGTAGGAGAGTAGGACAAATGTGAGTATGGACTCTGTGTGAGAGCATGCATGCAGCAGGGAGAAAGGATAATCCCAATTTGCTGTTGGACAGCACAGATCCAGAATTTACTTGGGCTGGGTTCTGGACAATTGCTTGACTCTTGCTCTGGGGTGAGGGGAGGTTGATTGTGCAGATAACAAAATGAATGTTATTTGTGATGCTGACTTCCTGTTGCTGACAGCCCATTGGTGAGACCTAAGCCAGTGCCTGGCAGCAGCTGCCAGCAAATCCTGAGTCAGTACAAAAGGTAACTGCCTGGCAAGGTGTTTTGAAAACACCTGTATGGATTTGAGCCTCTGGCAGGAAACATAATAGATCTTGTGTTCAAAAACCCATCGCATCTGTGCTATAGGTTATGGCAACAAACGCAAGGAAGGGGAATGGGCATCTATATTTTTCACATAGCAGAAAGAATCTTTATTTTACAGCAGGCCACTGACGTTTGGAGGAGCAGAAACTTTTCTCTCCCTTTATTTATAAATTAGTTAAGAAATGTTATTTTTGGTAGACCAGGAGTAGCTACAAAGACTAGGACTTCAACCCTTGTGACGTCTAATCAGCTGTCAGAAGAAGCTGATTTCCTTTTAATCATTTCTTCACAGATCCTTTTACATGGCAAACAGCTTTTTTTTTTTTCTTCAACTGTTTTGTAAGCAAAGCTATTCGTGCTGCTGCTTTCCACACACAAAGTCTTTTGGAGAGGGCTGGAAGAGCTCTTTCTGGGCATCTGCTCTGTCCTCCCGCTCCTGTGCAAGGCTGGCTCAGCTCCTCGTGCTACCTGCAGCGGCATCTGCCTTTCCCTTAGCCTGGAGAGCTTGTTTCTCCCTGCAGTGTCTAATACAGAGTTCATACTCTTATGTTTTTGTTTATCTGAGAGGCTCTGCTGGCAGTGTGAAGGCTGAACTGCTCATGTGGTGAGATTGCTAAACTCACAAACCAAACACGGATGCAGCGTCTTGGACAAATCCACCATACTACAGGACAAACTTAATCTAAAGCCTCCAAATGCCTTATTTTGTGGACAGTAAAGATATGGGGGCTCCAGGGTGTGAGAGATGGGCCATTGAGGCAATGTGTGTAGGAAAGGGAAGGGGCCAGTGGGGCTCTGGTCTTTGAAAGCTGTCTCCAAGCCAAGGGGAAGGCCGGGCAGTGTTCGCTGCTCCCCCCTGATCCCTCTGGGTTGTGTTTTGTTTCCTGGTGCCTATCCTACACCTAGGAGACAAACTGTCAGTTCCATGGCTCTGGGGGAGCGTGGAGAGTTTGCTCAAGCTCGAGGTCACCTGGGGGTTGAATTTTGCTCTGGCCACGAAGCAGGTTGTGAGGAGGTAGAGCTTCGGTCCCTTCACAGCCTTTTGGGATTTGGGATCCCAGCCTAGGTTGTATTGCCCAGAGACAGCCTGCAGGGAGCCAGGATACTTTTGGGAAGGCAGCAATCTGGGATTGCAGACTTGAATGCAGAAAGGGCAGCTTTTTTTTGGAGCAAGGTACAAGCCTCTGGGCATGGTCTTACTCTAAAATGTCAATAGCAGCACTGCTTCCTATCGCTTCAGGTGTTTGTAGGGATGGAGTACCCCCACAGCAATGAACAGGGCAGAGGTACTGCAGTGCTGCTCATAATCAGCAGAATCCAGATTTATTTTTATCTCTAAAATTAATCATAAAAAGTGAATTATTAAGGTTGGAAAAGACCTCTAAGATCATCCAGTCTAACCCCAACCCATCCCATCATGCTCTCTGACCACGTCCCTCAGTGCCACATCTCCATGGTCCTTGAACACTTCCAGGGACGGTGACTCCACCGCCCCTCTGGGCAGCTGAAAAGCCTGAAACTCTCAACAACAAAAGTCACCTGTCACTTTTTTGGGGAGAGGGGACTCAATTTTTTTTAAGCGCTCTTGTAAAACTAGAATTTATGAGATCAGACAGCACTTTGTTCTGCAGTATTTGCAAACATCAAAAGGTGCCAGAACCTATGAATGCTGCTCTGAAGTGCAGTGTGAGTGCAGCAGCTTCCTTGAGGTGTTTTGCTGTGCCTCCAATTGCATGCTGGCAAGTTTCTGCAATGCCTTACTGCTCACCTTCAAATAAAAACTTGTGGCTCTTTGTTTCATTTGTTTCAAACCCCCCAAAAATGTCAGCTGCCTTCAGAATAAGGAAACCTAGGAAATTTATCTTGGAAAATTGTTCTTCTAAATGTGCCTTCTTGTGTGTGTTTTTTTGTTTGTTCATTTGGTCTTCAGGGTGAGTAGCGTGGCTCTGTGTAGTTGATGGAGCACAGGGGAATGCAGGAGGGTATCAAGAATGTAACTACAAAACCTGAATTCATCCCCCAGGATGATCTCATGCACAGCCATGATATCTGGATCTCTTAATTCTGGCCTCAAGTTGACATATCCAAAAGCCTTGTTGCTCAAATGTTAGTGCCGGGAGTTCCCCTTGGAGAGCCATCTTCCACATCATGACCTGGCACAAGCTCCCTCTGCTTTTACAACTGCATTGTGCTAAAGGAGAAAAATAGATGAACAAGTATTCTTACTGCGTTGCTGGCTTTCAGAACTGCAGCCAAAGCTGTCTTAATTTGTGGAGAGGTTTACAAGTCTTTTTTTCTTCTCTTTTTTTTTTTTTTTTTTTTTTTTTTAAATTTTTTATTTTTAGCCTTTTAGATGAAAGTCTTTAAGGTTGCCATCCCCCAAGATTTTTCACATGTGAATGTACCAATCTGCTGAAGATATATGTCTTTACAAGGCGCCTGTTTTACTGCCAGTATCCTACAAAGCTCTGCCCTGGTAAGTGCTGCTGGGGCAAACTCCAGTTCTGCAAAGCCTTTCTCTGTATGTTGCACAACTTTCAGGCAGGCACAGCGGGCTACCTGTAAGTCGCTCCCACTTCCTTGTGTACTTTGAAACCCTGAGGGAGGGAGAGATGAAAATGACTGAGTTATTGAGAACAGATGTTGCACAGTAGCAGAGAAACAAATATTTTGTATTTACGCTGCTTCCATCCAAGGGTAATGTTAACACCGTTAACTTGCCCTTTCCTCAGCATAATCCAGCTGCCAAGCAGAGTTGCCTGCTAATAAAGTTCTTCTTTAGAGAAGGATGAGCAGCAAGCTCATGAATATACCCAGTGTGAGTCCTCCTCCTTCTGCAAGGCTGACTGCTGCACCCCTTCACCTCTGTGTCATCCTTCCCCTTGTCTGACCCATCGCTTGTCCCCTTGTGAGTGGCAGATTACTTTGTACAAACAGGAAAGACAGTAACCAAAGCTTTTTTACAGCTTGTTCCTTCTCTAATTTCTGGGTAAGAAGCAGACCTCATCTTTTTTTTTTTTTTTTTTTTTTCTTTTTGTCTTTTTTCTTTCTGTAAGAAACCTACCTATGCCTCTCTCCAGGTCTTTTCATATTCTTGCTTGCCATCCCCAGGATATAATGGGCATGGGGACCGCAGCTATTCCTCCATCCCCTCTTTGTTAGACCCGAATCATAGAGTCATAGAATTGTTTGAATTGGGAGGGACCTTCAAAGGCCACCGGGTCCATCTCCCCTGCAATGAACAGGGACACCTACAGCTCCATTAGCTTCTTATGTTGCAAAGTGCCACCCTGGCTCTCCAGCCCCACAAGACGACATCCAGCAGCAGCACCTGCCTCCCGATGCATGCTGCAGGCAGTTGCATCGGTGGCACTGGAGTTTCCTTTGGGCTTTGCCGTGCCATCATTTGCCAGTTGGCTCCTTGGGCCCCTTGGTTCTCTCCTTGATGGACCTCTTCATTTGGAGCCAATGCGTGAGGTCTTTGCAAATTGAGCCTTGGGGCTGCTGTCTATGAGGTGTTGCTCTTGGTTTGCTGCAAAGCTCTCGGCAAACCTTTGTTTTGTTACAATAATAGTAAGAGGGAAAAAAGCTGATGAAGTTCCTAGTAGCTCGATGGAGTCTGTTAGTGTCAGCAGACAGGATAATTTACTCAGCCAATTGTACTGGCTCTGATTATTTACAGTAACCCTAAAAGCATTGCCTCCCTCCCAGGAAGGAAGCGCTGGTTGCTTTAAACAGCAAGAAA